TTTCCAAACCAGTAAAATCAGCATTATGTGGGATTTTGTTACAAATGCAAATCTTGTGGCCCTGCCCTTGACCTACTGAATCAAACACTCTGTGGGTGGAGCTCAGCTGTGTAATAAGCTTACCTCGTGGCTCTGATGCACATTGTAACTACCACCATGGAGCATTTTTTTCCATTAAAGCAGTGAGTGTTAATCCCTGGTTGACTCAGCACACATAATGTTGCTAGGGTAGTACCAAGTGGAAGATGACAGAGGTTCATTTCTGTGTGGGGTTGCCTAGCTAATGACCAAGTCCATATGGCTACTAGATTTTGCAAAGAATTTATTTATTTATTTTTATTTTTATTTTTTCTTTTTCTTTTATTATTCTTATGTGCATACAAGGCTTGGTTCATTTCTCCCCCCTGCCCCCACCCCCTCCCTTACCACCCACTCCGCCCTCTCCCGCTCCCCCCCTCAATACCCAGCAGAAACTATTTTGCCCTTATTTCTAATTTTGTTGTTGAGAGAGTATAAGCAATAACAGGAAGGAACAAGGGTTTTTGCTGGTTGAGATAAGGATAGCTATACAGGGCATTGACTCACATTGATTTCCTGTGTGTGTGTGTTACCTTCTAGGTTAATTCTTTTTGATCTAACCTTTTCTCTAGTACCTGCTCCCCTTTTCCTATTGGCCTCAGTTGCTTTTAAGGTTCTGCTTTAGTTTCTCTGCATTAAGGGCAACAAATGCTAGCTAATTTTTTAGGTGTCTTACCTATCCTCACCCCTCCCTTGTGTGCTCTTGCTTTTATCATGTTTGCAAAGAATTTAAATGAACTACATACCACACTTTTTGGGCAGTCAAGTGCAATTTCTAATTGACACATCAAATTTGTTATTAGAAATTAAATGTGATCTAGATATGCATCTTAAAAACAAAAGAATTGAGCTGCTCATTAAAATGTACACATGTAGGACAGTGGGACCATGTTTCAGACTCCTTGTCCCTATTCTGCCTAAATATATGTGAAAGTTATGCTTAGCACCATGAGATGGGTCAGGAGAGTCAATCACTTTTGATACATATCAGTAAAAATCTCATTACCATGGTCTGCTTCGTGATTAAAAAAAATGAGAGAATTTAGCTCAACAAACACTTCTTTTCCCCTAAGCATATTAATAAGGACTAACTTCTAGTGTTTGAAGTCCTGTCAATACTTATTAGCCCTATGGAAAAAGCATAAATTCTACCTTTTGAAATGACTGTATCACAATAGTATGAAGAAATAATGCATTTTTTTGCTTATATAGCAAAGTCATAATTCTTTCTAGCCAATTACTAAATTTTGTAGAGTTTCAAAACCAATATTATGATTTCCTGAAAAGATATTAAATTTTGGATGCTTCAACTTTCTTTTTCATGTATTTATTCAAATTAGATTGCAGATCAAGAAAATATTCATATGCCCTTTCCAAGGGCTGTGCCAATATGTTTCTGTAACAAAATGAATACAAACTAAATATTTATTTACAATTCACATATACAGAGTTAAAGAAGTGATTAAGATACTAAAATAAACAAAGATCATACATAGAGTTACTTCTGAGCAATTTGAATTGTTACAGGATGCAAATAATCACTTACCAACGGATGAAGTGGCATCCTGGTAATGACTGCTGTCACTGAGAGACAGGTGACACCATATAGGGACAGTGGTATAACTGAATCACTTCTGGCTCAAGTTGCATCATAATACGGGGTGGCAATTTTATCTGTCTCGTCAGCGATTCTCAACACTGTATGCACATCAAAAATGACTCTGGACCTCATTTATAACAGTTACTTTTTCCTCATGGTTTATGAAACTTATTTTTTGGTGAGGAATCAGAATTTTACGTGAAAATATGCTCTTAATTTATATGCAGGGGAGCATGTTGGAAAATCACTTTATAGGAGACGAAATTTGACTGGTTTTCTTTTCTCTTTTGATATATTTTTCTTACATAGAGCATTGGAAAAGAACTGTGTTGACATGGCCCATAGGACACTGTGCATGCAGTTGCTAATGACAGCTGCTCAAGTGACTACTTTTGAAGCCACTGTTAATATCATAATGAAAGATTGTCATCATGTTAGACAATGTTTCCATGCTGGACTCCACACAAAGAATGGATTTTTTCCACCAAAAAGCCCCAGATTTAAATAGTCCTGTTTCCAGAGGGAAAAGAGGCTAATCCTGTAAATACAGAGCAGCTGCCCTAACACGATGACCAGGTGACGGTGGTAGAGAGCTGCAATATCATGCAGCCATGCTTGCAAATGGCCAGCACTTTGCAATAGTGTCAGAGGCAAGCAATACTGTCGTGAGAAGCCAATGAAGAAACACACAGCAATTAAAATTATTTTGAGCAAATGCACAAGCAATCACTTGCTAATTAGATTTTCATAGCAAGATGTGCACATTCCAACACAGATGGTGGGGGACAAAGTAATAAATTCCTAAAAGAGGAATAATAGGGCCTGAACTGGAAAGTTTCCCTTAGCAATATCAGTGAAAGTTTTATAAACAGTTCCACTGTGAGAAAGAAACTGGGAATTAGTACTGGTTCCACACTGTATAACTTTTAAAAGGCCAATGAACATGTCTGTTCCAAGTGTTGCATGTAATTTTCATATGAAACGGTGAATCTTGTCACGCTCAATAAAATCCCTTTTCATCTTTATAAAAGCCCCAAGTTAAAGAAAAGATTTAAATAATGGCATATGCAGACAACTGCATTGGAGGGAATCTGCCTATTATTTTGAGATTCTGATGCCTCGAGTATGATGAATATAACAACCAACGACTTTAACCTAATTCTGGATTAATTAAGTTTATTTCTGCTTAACTTCTGCAACTTGTACTTGGGTTCAAGTCTTACTTTTTTCCCAATGTTTCATCAATCCCTATGCTGGTGCTAACTAGTCCTGCTTAAAAAGACACAAGAGATTAAAATGGAGAAAAGAGATACAGATCACAAAGAAAATACAGGGAGGAAGAGATGAAAATATATAAATGTGGAAAGCTGGAGTTGATGTTATCCAATGGATTACATAGTCAGAAGCCAAGCCTTAAATTTTATTGCACTCCTTTATTTAATTGAATTTTCCATGTGAATTGTGTAGCAGGAACTTACAAATAGACCTTGTATGAGTTATAAAGGGAGAAAGCTCCAAGCTCTGTTTTTCTGTCTTCATCATTTTCTCTGGTAAATAGAGTAGTTTTGAAGTAGTCACTTATTTGAAACTAAATTTATTATGTGAAACATGTAAATTTTTAAACTGGTAACTTTATCTGAAATAAGAATCCATTTCTGACTGATGTACAAGCTGCCTTACAACATGTTTAGTTAGCAGGTGACTCGACCTGTACAGTTTCCCTTGAATCCAGGCCTGATTTGTCTGTTTGGTCTGTCTTTTCTGATTTGTCTGGCTAACACTCATCTCAGCAATACATTACCCAACAGAGAATTCAGACATAGAAGAGTATGAAATACTAGGATAGCATGTGGAGAAGTGTCTAGAAATACGACATTTGAAATATAACTTCATTCTTAAGTGATTTCTGGTTTTTAAATTCACTGAATTTCTGAGATAGGATTTCCCAAAAGAAATCAGTAATTTCTTTACTACTTTCAAAACTTTAAAGTGGACTTAAAAGTCTGAATATAAAACATCACTAAAATTCAAAAGGGAATCTCAAATTATGATCCTCTATTGCTTGTGTTCCCCTAGTTCAGTAGGTGAATCCTAAAATGAGATTGCTGCCCTCAAACCTTGCAATAGGCATTAGCCCACTTTGGGGAATGAGGCCCTGTTTTATTCAAATTAAACTGAGACTTCAATTGAAGCACAGCTCATAAAAGTTCATTTTTTAATGTTTTGCACTACACATGTACTCTAGTGCTCCTTATTTGTAGGATGCTAAATAGAAACTCCATTTTTTTTAAAACTAAAAATGAAAACAGACATTGGTGGTGGTTGTGGGGCATCCAAATATCTCCTTAGAGTCAAAAGCATTACCCATGAAGAGCCAATATTAAGAAAGAGTTGACAGACTCACAAATTTAGAAATAAAAGGGACATTTATTTTGACCTAGCTTTACATATGTGTTCTGCCTCTCACCACATAATGTAAGTAATGTACATAAATTAATCTTTAGCAGAAATATGCACACTTTCTTAACATAGCTGCCCTTGGGATTGTTTCATCGATGGGAGGTGGATTTGGGAGAATCCCTACTTCATGATACTCACGCTCAGCACCTTCTCAGTCCTTTAATTCCCAAATGCTCACAAACATTTGTGAAAAAGAAAAGACCCTGGCAAGCAGGAAGAGGCAGGTGCACAGCTAATGTTTCTCTCTTTGCCTGATCCAAATAAGCAAATGAGAGTAAGTAGGAAGTGCTATGGTCTTCAAGTGTAGGGAGGAAAAAACAGCCAGCTAAAGTGTAAGATGCTTACTATCACAAACCTCATAAGAGAATCTTTCTCCTTCCTTCTTCTGTTCATGGAATTGTAAGCCAAAGATGTTGGACAGAGACATGACACATTACAGACAACACAAAACACGTTTTGACACAGCTTTCTTGATGTGAAAAATAAACCATTGATATATCCAAAACCATTAGTGCCACAAAACATATTTCAGAACACAAAATGACATTGTACCATACAATAAGAAAATCCATTTTATAGTAATTATCACATCATTAGCATATATACATATACATAATTGTGTATGCATGACTATCTTTATATATACATAACAAAAGGCTATCTCCCTCTTCTCATTCCATTTCTAAAGCATTCTGTTGTAGATAATAATCACCTTAATTGTTAATGGGATTTTAGATTATTACCACTTCCTGTTCATTAATAAATAACTTAGAAACTTAAGACATGTTCCATAGAAAAGCAGTATTTTGCTAATGATCTTTAAATATGTGTTTGTCCAATCCAGAAGTAAAACACTACTCACCTCTTTCCCTCCCATAGATTCAAACATTTTTTCCAGCTGGACCCGCAATTGCTGAATATTGTTCATCAAGATACAGGGCTTTAAATAAAGAAAATAATAAGAATATTGTGAATATTCTTTATATGTTTAAATAATCGAATGAGTTTAACTTAAAAATGGTAACATATAGCTATTGCTAATATCCTATTGCTTGCAGCTAATACAATAATTCTTCTATTTCAAATTATCATCACGTTTTTATTATTATTGCAGTACTGGGGTTCAAATTCATGGCAGCATACTTGCAAGGCAGTTGCTTAAGACATGCTTCCAACCCTTTTTGCTCTTGTTCCAACTAGTGATTGAGATGGGGTCTCACAAACTTTTTGACTGGATTGGCTTTGAACTGTGGTCCTCCTGATCTTGGCCTCCCAAGTAGCTAGGATTACAGGTATGAGTAAGGTCAAATTATAGTTGTTAATAGCTAAGTATGGAAAAGGAAAAATATCATGATTATTGTGAATTAAATTTAATAACAGCCACAATAAACCATTGGAGCCTTGGTTCCAAAGTTTCTTTTATCCTTAACATTATGACATTTCATGCATGCAAACTAACTGTATTCTGTTTTTAAAATTTTATTTTAAGAAAAATAGATTAAATTCTTCTTCTGCAAGTTCACTGTTTTAAAATCAAAACACCATCTGAAAACTCTAAATCAAGAAAACTAAAAGAAAATGAAAAGCACCTTTAATGGATTCTTTATCTGTAGATAAAGTATTATTCAGCTCCCATCATTCTCTAGGTCTAATTCAGGTTTCTCTTCCCATTTTCCCCTTTGCTTACTTGAATTGTATCTACCATTTCAGTTGGAGCTTTCCGACTTTCTGTCATTCACTTGGCACTTGTTTTAGATTTCTTTATATTTGAGTGGCTGTTCACTGTATCACCAAGTAGCTTTAAATACACTGAAAATGCTGCTGTGTCTTTTTCTTACTCGCAGTACTTTACATATAATATACGTTTAAAAGATAGTTCTTGACTTGTTACAAGAAGCCAAAGAGGCAGAAACAACAATGCAAAGATTTTTAAATTTGTGAAAGAATCAGATATGATTTTAGAATAGTAGAAACTAATGTCTAATTGAAAAAGAGAATTTGGAATAGTTACAGAATCATTTAATGGTTGCTGCATATTGATTCCAAAGAGCTGGTAGATCAAAGGCGGTGACAACAGACCAAGAAAGGAAAAGGGGTATGTCTTCCAAGTTGCTGGGAAATGAGCCAATAATGAATCAGAGTCACACAAAGGACTCGCAGGATGTCAGAGAGGTGCTAGCTCTCATCAGTGGAAAAATTTTATTATATTCTTAACCACAATTACTGACCTTTGAAAAACCATACTTGACTCTTCAAGTGACCACATCCTAACTTTGAATTATGAAAGTAATTTTAAACCTCTATTCTGTCCCTTCATTCCAGTCACTTGAATACTTTATTTTTAATGCAGATAACTGAAACTTATTCACCCTATAGGTCCTGATTCTGCAAGATGAATTGGAATGTCCCACAAATGATTCTGTTTCCCAGCCGTGATCTGAGCTACTTAATTTTACTCTTACTCCTTTCTATAGCAGATAAGGAAATTTTCAGATGATTCAACCTCTTAATCCAAAGTTTATAAACTGAACCAATAAATTTATTTTCACTGTAAAATAGGGTCATATTATTGGCTTGAATTTGGGCAATCTTACCAGAAGGGAAACCAAGGTCAAAATAAGACCTTGACTCATTAGAAGCAGGAAGGCTACGTGGGTGAAGGGTTTTAGCACTGGCTTCCCACAGCTTCAAGTTAGCTTGGCTCTTCTGCAATTATTGGATAATTGTACTCAAGCCTCTCTCTCTTTTTTTTTCTTTTTCTCTGATGCTGGAGATCATGACCAAATCCAAGCCTCTGCACAAGCTAGGCAAAGCTTCTCCACTGAGCTACATGCATTACCTTGGTTTTTTGAGATAGGGTCCCCCTACACAGCTCAGTCTGGCCTGGAACTCTTGATTCTCTGGCATCAGCCTCCTGAGTACTGGGATTACAGGTGTGTGCAACCATGCCCAACCTCAAGCCTATCTTTATTAGCATGTATACCTGGACTCTAGTACTAGCTTCATAAATAAATGCCATGGGCAAGCCTTAATATAACCACTTCTGACAATAACAGGGTTACTAAGAACAAAATGAATCTAATCATGAAACAATTTTACTCTAACTCCATAGTAAGTTAAGGAAAGAAATACACTGTAAAAGGGAACATTAACCTAATTCAGTGGTGTTGCTTGTCCAGGTTAGTAAGATAAAATGATGTTTGAAGTCAAGTTGTATCTTCTATTTGTACATTTCTATTTCCTCTTATATTTTTAATTTGATCTCAATCTAGAATGGTTAGGCGTTTCAAATATGATGAATATGAAAGTTAGGTTTCTTTTTTTTTTCAGATGAGGGACATTTCTATATGACCGAAGTGTTTCTGAGTTGAAAGAGATAAAAAATTCAAAATAAAGTAATTCTTATTTAGATAATGATGCTTTTGTATCTTTTGGAATGTGAGAAAGATGGATAAGAATGTTTTAGCCCACTTCCAATTTAAAATGTTTCAATAGAAAAAAATATTGCCAGGCATGATGACTCATGCTTATAATCCCAGCTATATGGAAGGTGGAGATTGGGAGGATTGCAGTTCAAGCCCGGCCAGGGTAAAAAGTTGGCAACAACTAAATGTCTCAACAAATAAACTGGGCATGGTGGCACTTGTCTGTAATCTTAGGTAGGTGGGAGACAAAGGTAGGGTGATCTGGTCCCAGGCCAGTCCAGGCAAAAAGCAAGTCACTATCTAAAACATAACCTAACATAAAAAGGGTGAGAGGTGTGACTCACATGGCAGAGTGCCTACCTAGCAAGTACATAACCATGAGTTCAAACATCCATATACACATACACACACACACACAAATTCTGACATGGACATTTTGCTTACCTTTGTCTAGCTTTAAAAGTTTCTAACTTAATTTGCAGATGAAATAAATATATTACCTTACATATACTGAGAAATTTAAAATAAATGTCAATGCTCTTTATTCTCAAAATAAACGTATAACACTAGTTATATATACTCACACAAATGGACAAAAGTGTTTCTTAAGTTTGTCTCAACTGAAAGCATAAACAAAGTATTGAATTGGTTTTCTTTTTTAAAAGTTAAAATAACACTTTGTACTTAAGCAAGAGCATGGCTGGCCAAAATATCAATAATTAGGGAAGAAAAACTAAGGAAAGAGGAAGTTCTTGTGCTTTAATATTTGTAAGGGCTTTAGAAAAGCTATAAAAATTGATTTTGAAAAATCTGAAACATACAGAAAAATAAATAAATACTAATTTATGATTTTTATCTCAGGGTTTTAAACGTGAATTGTAATGCAGAATGACTACACCCAGTGTGGAAGTCTGCAGGGATTAATAAAAACTAATTTTACTTTCTGAATGACAAGAATTAGTACTTCATAGCCACTTGTAAGAATACTCATTTTGATCATCCTAATATAAATAGGATCTTTCCTGAAATTATAAAGCACTGTTCAGATTTCCAACGTAACCCTTTAGACATGAGCTATCTTTTTTCCTTCAATAGGTCAATACTCCATCTTATGTTTGAGTATTTTTGGTCAATAGCAGTTAGAAATCGTTGCTGAAATGTCTGGAAGTTGTAATAAAACTTCTGGGCAGCATATTAATTTAAGGGAAAGAGGAATCTTCTAGAACCTTCAAGAACTATCAGGGCTGACTTATCTTAATGAGCTGTCAGCAAGAGGTCAGTGGGATTTCAGCAGAAGAGCAGCAGATTTCCTTAGAATTCTCTTTTAAACTTGCCTGATAGTGAAAACTGACTTTTCAGAGAGGAAAAAATTTAAAAAACCTGTTTTCCTTTTAAAAATTCTTATACCCATTTTTAAATACTTTTCTTTTCAGTGTTGCATTAAAAAAAATCCTTACAGTGTTGCAATATATTTCTCCTAATAGTACATATGGTAAATAAAAAGGCTCTCTCTTTCTATCATAAAATAACACTGATTATATTCCAAGTAACTTCAGTTTATCCTGCCTCTCTTTATGACTTTTACTGAGTAAGTCACAATAATGCTTTGGATTTTATAAGTATTTCCTCAGTCATAATAAAAACGTTATATTAATAATTCACAGTAGGAACCAGCATCATTTCACATACTATTCTTCTCAATTTATTTGAAAACTAAAAGACTAAATTATACTTATTTTAGTGTTGGTGCCCAAACAAAACTAGTTGGTTCAACACCCATTTAGTTTGTAAGTTCCTAGTTCTTAGCTCCAATATTTTATGAGTATGGGGTGTTTTATTTATCTTCATTTTGTTCCCTATCAACAGAGAAAATTCCAAGTAGCCCAGATAAAGGCAACTTTCAACCTTCCTGTGAATCCTGTATTGAAATCAGCACAAGACTGGTAGTGATGTTTTCAAACCATGCTATGATATTTCTTGTCATCCCATATAAAAACAGAAATAAATTATTTCCTTGCTTACTCAACATTGGAAAACACAACTCTCAACTGAGGGACATTTGAAAGTAGAGACAGATTTTTACTTACCACATTCTCCTTATCACAATATGAACTGAAATCACTTGACACGATTGCAGCATACTGGACTAACACTTTGTTGATAGTCTAAGAAACAAAGCATTGCGAAAAATATCCATGTAAGTATGCAATTTTTTTCCCTATACACTCTCTAGGCTACTGTTAAATTGGGCAAAGGTGCATCTTTTTTAGCTGGAAGAGCTTATAAACAGTGATTAAATCTGTATCTTTGTCAAAAGAAGAATCTTAAATTATTATAGGTAAATGGTAATTTGCCATAGTTCTGAGTATATTTGGAAGATATACAATGAAAATAGAATGAATTCAATCTATTTTAACACAATTTGATCCATCACAAAATTATTTCCTAATTGTACTGAGAAGATACATTGGTCATTTGTGGCAATCTCCTCTTTGCTAATAGCTAATCTCTAATGCACCCTCCACCTTTCTAAATATGTACTTAATCTTTGCATTCTCTCTCATGGGTTCTAGTGTCTAAAGTCTACTCTTTATTCACATCATACATTTGTGATGGTGGTCATTTTCTTAACTTTCTCTATTGTTCCTAAATACCTCATTTATAAGAGGGGTCAGATTATTTCTATATACATTACTTAGCATTGACTATTTTCAGTGACAAGGAATCACAGTACATGCTATCAGAAACCACTATTAAAATCTAAAAATTCAACTTTTGTCATGCTATCTCTACTCCTCAATACTTACTTATTAAGTTGTTTACTAATGCATTATTTGCTAAAATATTGCTTATTCACACCCTTTCTGCTGTCCTTTTCATCCAAATCCTACATTTTGCATCTCTAATAACTATTTCTGAGCCTAAGAATGACTTCTGCTTCCATTAATTATGCAAAACAAAGAAAAATGAACCAACCATGTTAATTAAATTTTATTGCAGTTATGTAAAGATAGATCAGTGAGTTTGCAAACTGCTGCTTTGACACATTGCTTGAAGTATCACAAGCCAAAATGTGGATATTTCCTCAAAAAGATGAAGCAACAATAACAGTAGAAATATGTCATCCTTTTTTATGGAAAAGCAAAAAGAAGGTTTTTATTTCCTTTTTTGTACAATATCTTTGTCTGAATTTTTTTAGAGGCTCAAAATCAGCTGGGAGAGAGATTTCAAAGCCTAAGCCAAAGAAGAAATGTTTAAATGTCTAAATTGAATCCACCAAATATGACTATGTACCTGCTTTATACACTTTTAAAATCACAGTGCAACTTGGAATAAGGGATAGTGTGTAGATGTAAAACTGATATTTTGCATCAAGGACACTGGGCCTTGAAAAATGTAAGATCTTATCGAGCAGCAAACCAATAAATCCAGGCGACAGATGGCTTTTCACACTGAAATATCTTCTAAATATGGCTCTTCACATTTTACTTTAGACATAATGCTGGATTACTTTGGGCTTCCTAAGGGGCACCCATTCATTTGTATATATGAATACTGCTCTCAGTTTACTGTTTCTTAATGACACTGTAAGCTGAAGGAATCACTTTACTCTATTGCAAAAATGAAAACACACAACTATACTCCTGTATGTGTTTAGATCTTACTGCTGCATCTCAGGCATTATAACTTAATCAGGATAAGGTTTGGATGGCACAAAAATCCCCTAACATCTGCTGAGTGACCGCTGGAACAGCCTGTTTATGTTTGTTTCTCTGGAGAAGAGAGGGGGATCTAGTCATTTATAATCATTCTCAACGAATCCATCGTGGTCTACCACTTGGCTCTACTTCATATGAAAACTCCAGTGCCTTGAATTTCTGCTTGGAGAAAAACAACACTGGTAGGTCACATCCACTAGCCTATAAATGCCAAAGGGTTGCAAACCAGGATGAACTGTGGGCAAAGAAAAGTGCACAGTCATATTGGACATAGGTTAAAATCATGTCCCCATCAGAGTTTCAGGTACACTGCTGCGATAGCCTTTAGGATTTCTTTACTAATGTACAAAGAGTACTTAAATGAGAAGGGAAAATGCCTGTTTTAGAGGCAAGCTCAAGTTCATTCTACTTTATTCAACAAAGCAAATATAAATAAGTAGTTTTTTATGACATGTCTCCTAACTCATTGGTTCTCAGAATGCAGTTCTGGGATCAACGGTATCATAAACAGCACCTGGAAATTTGAAGATGCAAATTCTCTGGTCCTAGCCCAGATCTACTGTCAGCAACTCTACAGTTGGTCCCAGTAGTCTGTGTTTTAAACAAGCATCCAGTTGGTTTTGATGCATGCTAAACTTTGAGAATGCCATTCTAACTAATGCATGCCAGGTGAAGGTAACCATTCAGAGAGAACCTGCTGATGAAAGGGGTTCTTAGAAAGGTCTGGAAGATAGCATTTCTATGTGTGTGAGTTTAACTTATGATTTTGTCTTTTGGGAAATCTGGGCTAGAAAAATGAGAACAGTGCAGAGAGAGACCACAGACAGCCTAGCAGGGGATGTTTGCATATTGTTCCACAATGAAATACAGTCTAAATGAAGAAATAGTCATGAGAAGTAGAGGGCTCATTTATGGATGTGACAAAAGAATTGCTATTCAAAGAGCTCCAGGAAAGGAAGATTGTTGCAAGTAAGCAAGTGACTCCGCTGTACTTAAAGCATTAGGTAGAATGACTAAAATGTCTCCTAGCCTCAATCATTTCTGATTTGACATTGGCATCAAATGGGATGGTCACCAAGTACTCAGACAAAGAGATTGTGGTTTCCCAAGCCTATGCCACGCTAGAAAGAGTGGGCTGAATATCCTGTTAACACATCCAGTGATTTCATCTTCTGCACTATTCTTATGAGTAAATTAAGAACAAGATCCATATTTCATTCATGTTTTATACAGCAGTGCAAGGAGCACAAGAAGACTGTCCTTTAGTTCAACAACAGAAGAAAAGCAACTTCAATTCTTCACGTCCTATATTTTAATACATTTAGCATATGATAAAGTCCCCTGCAGATGCCTGGGTTTGGTATTAAGGGTAAAAAGAAATGATGAGATTCTGTTCTCCGATGCACTAAATGATTTCTGATCACATTAGGCTTCAAAGGGAGTGCAGCTTAGTGGTTATAAGCATTGCTTCTGTATCATTTCTAGTTTGGTGCTTTGTTTCAATTTTTTAAATATTTTGAGTCTGTATCATCATTTAAATGAGAGAAGATAATAGTACCCATTTCATGGAGTTATCACAAAGAAAAGTGAGATACTCTATGTATTCTTATTGGGGTTACAGAAAACAAGGACTAGGAATAGATGTGTCTTGTTCATCATAATAACTCCAGCATTTGGCAGATAGGTACATAGCCAGGACTCAATTAATCTGTGCTATTTTAAAGAAATATCAAGGATATCATCACTTCATGTCTCTTTTGTAAATTAAATTACCCATTCTTGTCAGGAGCAGCAGTGTAGCTGTAGCAATATTCACTACCTATGTACCTACTTCATGATTCCTCTTGGCTTCTGAGTGTTCCTGATAAGAAGTTTGCAGCATTTTCTGTGCTACCTTGTTCAGTCTCACATTCTCAGTAGTAAGAACAAATTATTCCTGTAAATCCCAAAATGTCTGCACACATTGTGTTAAGACATTAAATCAATCTAAGTCCTAGAAAGAGATGGGTAGTGTTTTCAATACTAGTGATCACATTTGATGGAAAACAAAACAAACTCCAAATAGTTATTTCGAAAATAGTGACTTATATTAACTATGAATTCTCATTTTTATATACTTCTTTAACATTAAAATAGAAATTGGAGATAAAAAGGCTGACACCAGTAAAATGGATTTGAATGTTTACTTGTTTTAACATTTATGTAATTGAATTTGCTTTTTATTTTGCATTGTAAGTCAATGTGAGAGATAGAAAGAATATCACCATGATTTTTACATTCTCACAAAATAGAATTTCTTTTTCAATGTAACTTACTCATGTCTACTTTCCCAAAAAATGTTTCTTATTGATGCTACACTATTTTCCTGTGATGTGAATTGGATGTTAGTGAATTTCCATGGATTAAAGATTTTTACGTAATTGAATTTGTTTTTTTTAAATTGAATCAGCACTGAGAAAATCATCAGGAGCCTTCTTTCTTCTTGCTTAGATAGTATGTTTTCCTGGATGTGATTCTCATAGGATGTTCTTTGTGATCTCCCATTCCTTGGTACTCTGCTCTTGTTTGTGGGGTTCTATACCCAGCATAGTAAGAATGCTTACTATGCTGACTTAACAGGTGCAGGTAGATTGGAGTTGGTGAGGGGTAGAGAGTAGGCTGGAGCCCAGGGTCAGGACCTCAGTTCAGCATTCCTCTTTTCTCTCACAGTGCTCCTGTGTCTTCCACCTGACATATCATGCTGCCTGACTCCTCTGCTACTAAATTCTAGTTACTTTCATAATATTGCATACCATTATCAGAGTACTTTACTAAATACATTAACTGTGAGATTTTCATTTTTAATATTATCCTGTTTCCACTATAAGTTGTACAGAATTCTAAGAATAGCATGTGACATACTTTTTCAAACACTGTTTTCCTAATGACCTTGTTTCATTTCATTTTTATTTTTTGGCATTTACCCAACATTTAGCTGCTAGTCACGAAAAGACAGAAGTTTTAGAATAATTTTGCAGATTTCACCACATTGGGAAATTATAATCACCTACTACCAAGAAAATCCTTTATAGGAATGATCTAAATAATCTATTTTGGGCTCTTATCTTAGAAAGTAAGTGCTTACTTCAGTTACTTTACTAATAAAGACTTCACTTCACTATATTTCATGGGAAATAAATGTTGTAATAGAGGGTAGGCAGATAGTTTGTCTGGTCCCCAGTAATTCAGAATGTGACTGCATTTGGAGATAGGGTATTTAAAGAGAGAATTAAGTTAAAATCATGCCTCTAGGTTGGGTTCTAATCCAATTTGATTGGTGTTTTTATTAGAAGAGGAAATTTGGGCACAGAGACACCAGAGATAGGTGCACAGAGGAAAGTCCATGTGAGGACACTGAGAAAAGTGAACATTCTGCAAACTAAGGAGAGAGGCATCAAAAGAAACTAAACCTATGGATGTCTTGATCTCAGACTTTCAGCCTTCAGAACTGTAAAAACATATATTTCTATCATTTGAGATATTCAGTATGTATTTTGTTATGGCATCCCTAACAAATTAATACAAGATCTTAGATACTATACAATTCAAACTGGACTTTGGCATTTTCTTATTTTCTAACATGCATAACACATGTAAATACATAAATGTATATATTCATTTTGTGTGAGTTTACAGTTTTGATGCTCCATTACAAGTTTTTTGAGGTCAAAGATTATGAATATTCATAACTACACTTTCAAAGTGGTGTGCAAGTGAGGCTGTCAGTAAGCTCTGATTGAATGAACATCTAAAACCCCAGTCATCCCTCAACCCATGGAGCCTGACTTATGTTCAGATGAGTCAGATGCAGAAATGTGCCTAGTCCCCCTAAATTAATATGTTTGTCATGTAACCACCATGCTTAAAGACTCCAAAATGTTCAGTGTTTCCTAAAATGACCAATAAATTAAGTGCAAACTCTGTAGACTGTGAACTAGAATTCTTCAAGATCTGAGCACTTCTTCATCCTCCCAACCTGTCCTTCTGCTTCCCCTACCCTGACTATCATGCTCTGCCTTCCCTGCTCTTTTGTTCTGGTTATTCCTTTGGTTGAGAATACTTTTCCAAATTCATCTCTCTTTTTTTTTTTCTTTCTGGTGCTGGTACTGGGGTTTGCACTCTCAGGGTCTCACACTTACAAGGCAGGAGCTCTACAACTTGAGCCAAACACCAGGTCCTAAATTCATCTTTTCAGACATTCATCAGCCCTACTCCTACAATGAAGCCAATACTTCAGTCCTCATCAAATATCCTTCCACTTAACAGTTGAAGCTGAATTGTGTCCCTTTCTTTGTCATGTTCCAATTAGTGTATGATATGTGGTCTTGAGTATTATATGTGATTTTTTGGAGGTATGATTTTTTTTTTTCAGTGCTGGTGATGAAGCCCAGTGCCTCATTCATGCTAGGTAAGCAACTCTACCACAAACACCCAGCCCTGCTTCCTCTATTTCTTACATTTTCCTCGAAACTCTTAGCAAAGTTGAAAGCATTTGTCTTACATTTTAAGAAGAAAAAAACCCAATTATCTCATAAGAGATAATTGGCCCAAGTCAATCTATCACATAATAAAAATTCATAAAAGTAAATTAAAACACCTAAATTCACATAATAGTTATTGGCTGATTTATAATCAGAATCCAATTTTCATGATTCTAAGTCCACTCTGTGTTTCAGTCTACTATAGTGTCTGCTGAAGACTATTTGCCAATTTGAATATGAAATGCCAATGCTTATCTTCAGCCAGAAAGTATCACATTTGACATGGAAATATTTGGCTATCCATGGGAATCTCTTCATTTACATATGACATCACCAATGTTAACAATAAACAGGCTTTTAAGATGATAAATCCACATAAAAGAAATAGTAAGTATAGGAAATCAGATGACAAACTTGCCAACAACTGAATCTATCAGTAATGGGGAAGTGGTGTCAGAGAAGGCAAATAATACAAAAACAACATTTTTCAGGTTGCCACAGTCCCAGAAAAGATGCGATCTAGGTAACCTACCTTTGCAAATCTTCTCACTAAGTGAGATAGTGCTTCAGGATTTGGACATTCCAGTTTCTTAATTATCTCAAAGCTCTGATTAAGCTGAGCAAAGACATCAACCACGGAGCAAGAGAAGAGGGCATGATCAGATGTCTGCTGGAACTGAGGGGAAAGGAGGCAAAACCAATTCCATAAGCTCATTAGGGAGGTGTAGAAAGAAACTCATTATTTCACATAAACCATTGAATTTCCTATATAATGTACCTACATTTTCCCAATAATGAAATGCCTGCTCATTTTCAAATAATTCAACTACTTTTCTAGAAATTATAGTGGAACTGATATCATGGGGTCAGCTACTGCTAATTGTCTTTCCCATTGCTGAATTAAGAGATGGATTCTTTCACATTTCTGTTCTATCACAGGCATTGAGGTAGTTTAGTGATCTGGTTTTGGCCTAAGATTTTGCATTGCTGCAGAGGGACAGGGAGAGCGTGTATTCTTAATCTAGAGATTCTGGAAAGTTTCCAGGACAAAAAAAGTTTTGTACAAACCTGGGAAGTTATAGAGACTGATACAAGAAGTAAAGAAGCATCTTGGGACAAAGTGGTGATTGATTTTGTTTGTTTGTTTGTTTGCTTTTAATTTAAGTAGTTCCCTAAGGTTCTGATAAGCCCTTTGAAATTGTTTTAACTTTATTTTGGTCATTGGGGAATTAAAACAAAACTGAACTAATAACACAAAATTGAACTAATAATAATGAGCCTAACATTTCCCACTAACTTAAAGATAAGCAATGTGATGGAGTCATGGTAATAAGCAATCTTAAACTACTTTAAACTCACTCCATCTTTTTTGTCTCTTCCCAGTGCTCCATGAAGGAATTCCATTGACAAGTCTTCATTTTCATCTAGCCACTGCATGACAAAAGGTTCAAACCACCTAAAAATAATAGTACAACAAATGGCGTTATTTGAATATAATTAACAGGAATGTCGCCCCTTTCCTGCATGAAAGTAATTTAGGTTGAGAAATCTTTCATTTTCTTTTTCCAGTTTTGCTTCCTCAGAGATCTTCGCCTTTTGTTTATCAATATATTCCCCTCTCTTTTACCTTCACACTCTCTGTGCTATTCCCACAATGCCTCAAATATGTTCAGTTTCCAAATCCCACTCTACAACCCCTCCACATTTTAACCTCTACTTAAGTAAACCTATGTGCTGTAGCCCTATCATGCCATTCCAATATTTCTTAATTTTTTTCCTTCTGGCATCTACACATTCCCAGCAATCTCCTTTAAATGATGCTTTCCTCTGGCTTCTTAGTTATGATCTATAATCTACAACTGGTTTTTGTGACTGGTCTGAGATAAACTTAAAGATACTTTTTCCGTATGGATGCCAGGTTGATACAGCGCCATTTATTAAAAAGACATCATTAATCAAAGTCAGGCGATGAATGACATTATGTGTGAATCTGTCTCTGAACTACTTTGTTTCACTGGTGCCATTTACTAAAACTCCACACTCTTTGGTAACCATATCTTTTGTTTGTTTCTTTCTTTGTTTTGTAATCTCATATCTCAGGAAAATGTTTTTTAATTTCTTTTGTTCGTATGTGCATACAATGTTTAGGTAATTTCTCCCCCCTTCTCCCCATCTCTTCCCTTTCTTCCCGCCCCCTAAAGGTAACCATATCTTTTTAGGAAGTCCTGATAACAAGTGGCATAGTTCTCCAGCTTTTAAATCCTCTTCAGGATTGTCTGAATATTTTTGGCCCTTTAAATTTTGAATAAACCTAGATTATTATTTTTTTGGATTGCATTGATTCTGTGTGTCAGTGGGGAAGAGAATATTATATTATTTATAATAATTGTCCTATTTAGAAGTTGTGTATATTTTATTTAGTTCATCTGAAACATCTCTTAGTAATACAGTTGGTTGAAAAGAGGGGGTATACATCCTTATTTATTGTGTTCTCAATAGGTTTTAGTTGCAAGATTTAAAAAAAAATGGTCTAAGTTTTCCTTTGTTCTCTGGAAAAGTTGGCAAAATAGGTGATAGTTCATTAAAATTGGAAGAATTCTTCCATTTGGAAGAATTCCATTTGGAGCCATGTAGGCTAGAGATTTTATTTGTGACATGACTTTTAATTAAGGATTCAGTTTTAAAAATAGCTACTGGCTTATTCAGATTTTATGTTATTCTTAGCTTAGTAAGTTCTATTTTAAGAGGAAGTTACACATTTTATCTAAATTGCTAAATGTCCTTTTTCATGATTAGTAATATGTGCTGCCTCTATCTTTTTTCCCATTTGCCTTACTAAGGATTTTTTTTTATTTTATTAGTTTTCAAAGGTTAACTTTTAGGTTAGCTAATTTCTCTTAAGTTTTCATATTGTTTTCTTCTTTTATTTTTCTATTTTCAAAGATCTTCATAGAGACCTATTTTGTTGATTTTTACCCCTTTTTCATTTCAAATACATAAAACTAAAGCTATAAATTTTCCTCTATTTTCTGGTTTAGCTGATCTCATATTTCAATATGCCATATTTTATTACTGCTTATTTTAAAATATTTTGGAATTTTTGTGATTTCCTTTTTGGCTCATGACCTATTTAGAATATTCTCATCAATGTCTCTGATGATTTTCTAGTCGTCTTTTGGAAATTTATTTCTTGTTAATTCTACCATGGTCCAAGAATATACAGGAATTGTTTTCAGTCCTTTAAAATTCATTAGACTCTCTTTATGGCCCACCAGATTGTCTATTTTGTTAAATGCATTGTGTGTACTTGGTAACGATATGTATTTTGTCATTGTTGGCTATAAAATTTTATATATGTGTATGTATATAAAATGAAGTCTGAAAAATTGTGGAAATTCTGGATCATCAAATATAGATATGTAGATTTTTGTGTAGAGATAGACATTGCTAAATGAGTTATTCATAGTAACATCTTTGTTATTACTGATTTTATTCTGTATTATCTGATTCTTCAGTCCATTCCTGAAGAAGCATAATATCCAAACAGAGCTGTGCATCTGTTGATATGTCTTTTTACTTGTGGCAATTTTTGCTTTATGCTTTGCCAATATTACAATATATATTTAGAATTGATAACCATTTGTTAAAATGGTAATTTAATCATCATAAAATATTTCTATCTCTCAAAATATTTTTATTTTAAAATCTAGTTCATCTGATATGAGCATAGCAGTGTCAGCTTTCTTTCAATTATTGGTTCTATCTTTTTACTTAGACTTGTTATGCCCTATGTTTTGGCTAAATCCATTCCTTGAAGCCAGAACATTTTAAGATTCTTTTCATTCTCTTTGGTTTTGTTTTTATGCTGTATCTGCAGACAATTTCCCTTTCATTCAGCCTGTTTAGGATTTACAGAATGTCTTGAATTGTGGCTTTGTGTTTTCCATTAATTTACAAAATCCATATAGTATCTTTTCAAAGATTATTCTGGTACAGTTATGAGTTGCTTAGTGATGAGGATATGTTCTGAGAAATGCAGAAGGCAATTTAATCATTGTGTGAACACAATAGTGTTGCCTGGTGGCCTTTAATTTTTTGATGAGTATCAATTATATTCTTTCTATGAAAACTTTTGGTCCTTTTTTTGATCATTTCCTTCAGGGAGGATATAAAATTTTAGGTCCTCCAGGGATCTTATGTATAAGGCTTGGGGTATTTGAAATATTCCTTCTTTTCTAGAAAACTTCACTTCTTACTTTTGTTCGTATAGCATAGTAAGACTGCTAAAGTCTCCAATTAGTCTTAATTCTCTTAGTGCCTGGTTTCTGCTTGAATTTTTCTACCTGAATCGCCACACATAGGATGATTAGGAATTGGAACATACCTCCAGGAGGAAGCAGTTTGTAGTGTTGTGCTCATGTCTCTGGAGTTCCTTTTCTCTGTGATCTTGGTTCCACAAGTCTAAGCAGCCTTCATAACCCTGGACACCAATACTAGTTTGGTAAGCCCAGGGAGATTATTCTAGACTCTGAGCTATTGGTCACTGTTTGGCCTCCAAGCCTTACGTTGCAAATTTGATAAATAAATGTGGTTGGGGAGGATGGACAGAAGATGTCCTCAGTACATTTTTCTTTTCTAGGGACCTTAACTTGTCAGTTCCTGGTTGCCTTGGTTGCTCTCTGATGCAGTTTAATTTGATTTGGTCTTCCATAAACACATTAGTTTGACTTTATTTTAATGTAGTAAGCCTAGACAGGTCAGAGGCAGATGTTTCTGGAAAAAGTTCCTTCATTTTACTTTCTTATTCCCAATCAATAATACCACTACCAAGTATTTCTGAACACATATTTCCTGTTTAACTCTTATTTGATCCTCATATATATTTAGGTGACAAATTCTCTAAATTCTATCTGTAATATTTCTTACCCACATACTTTTACCCTTTGCATTCGCACTTCAAGTACCTATATTAGTGCTATAAAAGGCTATATGTTAGTACAGCCTTTTAAATTAGACTGTGTATGCTTTTATTTTATTTTTAATAATTTTATTTGACAAAATTGTATATATTCACTATGTGAAACATATTTTGAAATAGGTATAATGTGAATAATGGTAAAATTGACAACTTATGTGTTACTTTACATACTTATGATTTTTGTGGTGAGAACATAAGACTAATTTTTAGTCATTTTCAAGAATACAATTCACTGTTATTAACTAAAATCACTATATTATACAATGGATCTCTTGAACTTATTCCTTCTAACTGAAGTTTTGAATCATTTGGCCAACATCTTCTCACTCTCCTTCATGGTATAAATTTTGAACTTGCCCCACTATCCTGTTCCATTTCTTGTACTTGTACATGGGAAGTACATCATCATTACATTGCTCATTGCCTTCTAAATCCCTGATTCCCATTTTCTGTCTTTTCCATTCCCACAATGCCTAATGAATTCCCACAATGCAAGCCTTATAGCATCTATTTACAATTATGTAGTTCAAAACTACTTTTCATATATCAATTTTCTACTGATTTTCTTAAAATACCCGAGAGTCTCCTAGAATAACACTATTTCCTATGGCCCATAACAAAATATTCCAAACTCTGTAATTATACTCACAACTCCCATTTCCATCTTAATGCTTTTCTCTCTCTTTTTTTTATCATAATCTAACCAATTTTTCAGTCTACAATAAATACTACCACATTTGTAAATACTGTGTGGAGCCCAATACTATTTTCAATATTAACGCATTATTTTTAATAAGATACATCTCACACCATTGTCTCTGTTTTGTGAGATTATATTGTACTTTGTATATGCTTCATTTTGCTTTGCTTCATCTTACTTTGTGCACTTATCAATATCTCCTAAGTGTAAATTCCTTTCAGGAAGAGGTCTTTATCTAATGCACTGTGGCTCTATATACCACGTAGCATAGTGCCTGGAATGTGGAAGACCCCTTTTAATAGAATAAAACAGAATTCTGAATCACATCAAATGCAGACTGCTCCCTATATAACTGTGCGATTACAAGTGTGTTTGATAGAGAAAGATTTAATAAATGAAAGTATTACTGTTAAATAATGGTCTCTATTTCAGAAATATGAATTTCTAAGACAGCTATAACCTTGAAGTGAAGGGAAAATCTGATTATAGATCAATATCAAACACTCATTTTTTAAAAGAAAAATCGCATTCTAGCACTTTTATAGGAAATAATTTCATCATATGAACCATATTCTATTCTACAGTTCTTTCTCTTTGAGTTGAAAATCCAAGTAAGGCGTACTTGAAAAATTCATCACGTTTCAATTAAATATGGTTCTCAAAGGCATGCAAACCGTTTGACATTAGTATTATGACAAAATGTCTGCATTCCAATAAAGACAATAAAGAGATTTTTAGTGCTGCACAAGTCAGCTGCTATGTTACAGAACTGTGAATTGAGAACAAATGGGGAAGAGGATGAAAATCACTACTTACAAGGAATACTCAGGAACAGCATCCTTGAAGGCAGGAAGTTCTCGCACATATTCATTATAAAACCATTTCACTTTGAAATGCAAATTCATATAATCGGTGCTTTTGCATAACTGTTGCTTCTCATGTTCTGTAACCGATAAAATCAACCAATTAATACAGTTTGGTTTGCCAATGATGCTGCTGTATTCCAATTTACATTTATCATTAGGTATTTCTACAAAGAAGAAAATAGTGTATTAGAGGGGAAGGCAAAGTCCTAGGAGCACTCCTGAAATTTTACGATATGCAAAAATAATCATAGGTCCCAGTAAGGTAGGTTGAGCAGTATTGGAGAATAACTTGAATGTTCTAATGTGTCTTATGAAAAAGGTGAGAATTCTGATGCAGCTAAAGAACAAAAACTCCAAAATTTTTCCATTTATCTGGAGCCTTTCATATTTTGGCTACTTTTAGCCTGATGCAAAGCGGTAGAAAGAATTAAAATTCTAAGAATGGACAAAATACGATTTAAAGTAGGAGTCATAATCACAGGTTAATATGGGATTGTGAATGGGGAGATCACATTTCTAGCCTTTTTTCTTTTAACACTGAAAGAATTAAGATAGTTGAAAAGAAGAGAAAAAAAATCTAACTTCTAAGTCATATAATTTTTTATTCACCTTTTAAGTTCAGCTAAAATTATATTGTACCCTGTGGCTTTTTTTATATTTCTTTAGAAGAATTTTCTAATATATGGCATTTTTTTCCCACTCTTGCTCTAAAAGTGCAGCTTAACATAGAGGACTGGACATAAAGGACTGGAGAGGAGAGGCATGTTTATTTCTGGTTTTCTCCCAGTACTAACATCTTGGCTAATTCTGCCTACAACTATAAACACAAACAAATCCAAAATATTTCTCCTAGCCCACCCCTTTCCAAACATTCTGGACCATCCTGGTTTTACATCCAATAAACAAAAGTGACTATATCCAAATGCTACCAAGGTTTTCAAATTGTGCACTTGCTGACAACAGAAACATGTGCTGCTTTGTAATGCGGAACTTGTACTATAGAAGCACTTAAGAGATACAGCAAACTAATTTGCCAGGTTCTACCTCCAGATAGCAGAAATAAAATAGATTATTGCACAAGAAAGTGTCATTTACAAGTTAATAAGCATACATTTTCTTAGTTTTCTTGGTTCTGGTTTAGCTTTTTCTTGAATCAGTAGGGTGAATATTACATAATTCATATTACTCTCAAGTAAATAGATGGGTATTTTTAGATGTAATATATATGAAGCCAATTAGATGGCTACTGAGTGATAGAATTGTCATGTGCAAGTAATCCCAGCTACTCTGCAGGATGGGGGCAGAGGATTACCAGCACCAGGACAATCTTTCTCACATTGTGAGACCCTGTTTTGCTGATCAAACCCTGTGTCATTGAGGAAATCAGGCAGGAAATTAAAAAAAAAATCCTATAATCAAATGAAAATGTAAATACTACACCAGAATCTATGGTGTAGATCTATGGATACAGTGAAAACAGTTTTCAGAGGAAGTTTAGAGTTATTATGGCTATATTAAAAAATCAGAGAAATCTCAAATAAATAATACATCTCAAAGTATTAGAAAATTAGGAACTAGCCAAACCTCAAATAATGATCAGAGAGGAAATTAATGAAATGGAAAATTAAAAATATATAAATGATTAATGAAACAAAGAGTTGGTTCTTTGAAAAGATAAACAGTGTTGACAAACTCTAAGCCAAAATCATCAAAAGAAAGAGTAAGAAGACTCAAATTAATAAAATTAGAGGCAAAATGGAATGTTACAATAGATTGCATTGAAATCTAGAGGATCATTTCTGATTATTTTGAAAATGCATATTACAAAAATTAGAAAGGCACAAGATTCTAAACACGTATGACCTATCAAAACTGAACCAAGAAGATATTTTAAAAAACAACTAAACATGTCAATAACAAGAAATGAGACTGAGGCTGTAATAAAAGTCTTCCAACAAAGAAAAGTCCATGACTGATAGATTCACCACTAAGTTTTACCAGATTTTTAAAGAATGTTTATTCTCCTCAAACTATTCCATTAAATATAAAGGGAAGAAATGCTTTCAAACTCATACTATGAAGCCAGGATTACCCTAATACCTGTGTGTCTTACAAAAACAACAACAACAAAAAATAAAACTGTAGATCAATATCCTTGCTGAATACAGTTGTAAAAAAGTTCAATAAAATACTTACAAATCAAATTCAACAGTACACTAAGAAGCTCATATACCACAATCAACTTAGCTTCATTTCAGGGATGTAGGAGCAGTTAAACAAATGCAAATCAATAAATGTAATATTGCACAAAAATAGAATCATAGATAAAAGTCACATGACTGTTTCAATAAAAAAGGCCTTTGACAAAATTCAACATCCCTTCATGATAAAAGCCTTGAAACAGCTAGGTATAAATGGATCATACATCAATATAATAAAGACTATATATGATAAACCCATTGACAGCATCATACTGAATGAGGAAAAACTGAAAACATTTCCTTTAAAATAAGGATTGAGACAAGGGTGTCTACTCTCACCAATTTTATTTAATATAGTACTTGTAATTTTAGCTAGAGTAATAAGGCAAGAAAAAAAATGAAATTTAGGATGAATGGGCTGGGAAGGTAACTCAGTTGGTATGAGTGTTCATGTAGTATACATGTAGTCTGGGTTCAATCCCTTGAACTACAAAAAAACCCCTGACAACAGTAGCAACAAAATCAACAGCAACAATAAAAGCACAACACAAATAAGAAAGGAAGAAGTCAGGTTATCTTGTTGCAGATGACATGACCAGTACTTAAAAGTCCCTAAAGTCTATACTAGAGTGTCTAATAAACACTCAAAGTAGCTGGATATACAACCAACATACAAAAATCAGAACTTTCTATACACCAATAATGGACTTTCTGAGAAATAAATCAGTTAAATAATCTTGTCTAAAATAGCCTCTAAAACACATACCTAGGAATAAGCCTAACTAAGGAGGTGAAAGATCACTACAATGAAAATTATAAAACATTGAAGAAAGAAATGGAGAAGACAGTAGAAGATGGGAAGACCTCCCAAGTTCATGGATCAGAAGAATACATGTTGTTAAAATTGATTATATCATCAAAAATAATTTACAGATTCAATGCAATCCCCTATAAAATTCCAATGAAATTCTTCACAAAATTAGGAAAAAAATTCCTAAAATTCATATGGAAGCACAAAAGACCCCAAATAGCCAAAGCATTCCTGAGCAAAAAGAGCAGTGCTGGAGTACCACAATACTTGATTTTAAATTGTAATACAGAACCATAGTAACAAAAACAGCATGATATTGGCATGAAAACAGACATGTAGACTAATGGAATAGAGGACTGAGAAAAAAGCCCACATGCCTGCATCCATTTGATTCTTGACAAAGGTGCCAAAAACTCAAGTGAAATAAAAGGCTCTTCAACAGTGGGGCTATCCACACACAAAAGATTAAAACCAGATCACTCTTTCTCATCTTGTGCAAAGATCAACTCAAAATGGATCAAATACCTTAATATGAGACCTGAAACTTTGAAACAACTAATGGAAAACATAGGGGAAACACTTCAAGAAATAGGCAAAGGCAAGGATTTTCTGAATTAGGGCTTCAGTAGCTCAGGAAATAAAAACAAGAACTGACAAATGAATTACATCAAATCAAAATGCTTCTGTACAGCAGAAGTGACAACCAAGAGAATGGGAGAAAGTCTTTGCTAGCTATTCATCTGACAGAAGATTATACCAAGACTATGTAAGGAAATCAGAAAAGTTATCAGCAAAGGAACAAGTAATCCAGTCAATAAATGGGCAAATGATCTGAATGGACACTTCTGAAACAAAGGACAAATGGCCAATAAATGTATGAAAAAATGCTCAATATTTTTAGCCATTAGGTAAATACAAATCAAAACTACATTGAAGTTCCATCTCATCTCACTCAGGGGAAAAAACTGCTGGTGAGGATGTGGGGGAAAAGAGATCACTTATATTCTGTTATTATGAATGTAAGTTAGTACAGCAAGTATGGAAATCAATTTGGAGTTTCCTTAAAAAACGAAAAATTGAACTACAACATTATTCAGTGATACTACTCCTGTTTATATATTTGGAAGAAATTAAATCAGCATACAAAGTAGATACCTGTATACCTGTCTTTACTGGGAGCCCAAGTCATAATAGCCAAATTATGTGCCCATTTGTTCATGAACAGATGAATGAATGAAGGAAAAAGTGTACATAGACAATGGAATTTTACTTAGCCATAAAGAAGAATGAAATCATGTTATTGACAGAAAAATGGGAGATCATAATGTTAAGCAATGCATGAATATAAAATATAATGATATATGGATATAGTTAAGTATCCAAATATTACCATTCCAAGTAGAAGACCCAAACAGATACATTGATAATTAACTTTTAACTTTTACTTTTGCCAACTTTCAACCTATTAAAATGTAAATGGTGTAACATAATTTTTATCACATCAATATGAGGGTATATTCATTGAAGTGGAAAGATAGAATACATTTTATTTAACAGTTTGTGAACTTGGTTTATAAACTTCATGATTTGTGGACCTCCATGTATGCTCTTGCCTTTGCAAATGTTAAGAATGAGCCTGACTTAACGGCTCTCCTCTTCTGGGAGTATCTGTCTATGACCAGACTCCAAAGAAAAGGGCAACCCAGTTTCATTTAATACTCCAAATGTTTATTGAATGTATCTTTACCTGGGATCTTGCACCAGGTCATGTGCGAGGCAATAGAAATACAAAATGAAGGTCACATGTTCTTGACATGAGGTGTATTCGAAGTTGGGAGGAGGGAGGATATATTAACAGTCATTCAACACAATACAGCAAGCACAAGGATCACAGGATGCACTGATTTATAGGATGTCATAATCTCTTGGAGGAGAAAAATTTAGCCCAAATTTAGGCTTTAAGTGAACAATTAAACAGAGAAATGATTAGCAGTTTAGTTTAGTTCTTGGAAAGGACTTTGCATCAGAGAAAGCATATTATATAACATAGGATCTATTTTTCTTC